CAAGGCACACATGTCTACAATTCCAGCATTCTAGATGGCTGAACCAGGAGGATTTTAAATTCGAGTCTAGCCTGGGTAACTTAGCAATTTAGGGAGATCCTGTCTCAAAATAAAAAATAAAAAAGAACTGAAGATGTAGCTCAGTGTTAAGGCCCCGGGGTTCAATCCCCAGTGCCGTGAAAGAGAGGAAATTCTGCTTTGTGTCACCCACCAGACATCCCCAAGCCCAAATGAAGAGCCACTGCTTTTCAGCAAAAGCAGCTTTTGAATATTAGTGTGTGTGTGTGTGTGTGTGTGTGTGTGTGTGTGTGTGTGTTCCAAAAAGCAATAGCTGGCTGGGCATGGTGGCTGCATGCCTGTAATCCCAGCACCCAGGAGACTGAGGCGGGAGGCTGAGGCAGGGTGATCACCACAAGTGAGGGAGAAACTAGCTCTGGGGAGCAACCTTGGGCCAAGTAAAAGAGGAAAAAGCAAGATGAAAGTGCACCCTGGAGGAAGCAGAGCAGGCTACTGTGAGGAAAGCCAAAATCGTGGCTTTTAATGAGTAAAAGGTTAAAGGCCCCGGAATTTATCTTCAATCCCTGTGGTGGTCTCTGTCTCAGATGGGTGGATGGATGGATGATGGATGGGTCAAGGTACATTTGAGAAACAAAGAAACTGACTCTCTAAAGCAAAGAGTTCATTAGGTATAACAGAGGATTGCAATTTAGGAATCTAGGAGACAGCCTATGGCAGACCAGAGGTACATCCAAAGAGATTAGGGCAAAGAGAAGCTTTTGGTTTGGTTTGGTTTGGTTTGGTTTGGTTTGGTTTAGTTTTAGGGATGCTAGGGATCTAATCCTGGTGTTTGTGTTAGGCAAGCACTCTAACACAGCTATATTCCTAATCCAATACTTTGTTTGTTTTTGCATTTGTGTTTGTTTTTTGAGACAGGATCTCATGATGCAGTTCAGGTTGTCCTTGAACTTGCTATATATTCTAGGCATTGAATTTGAGGCAATCTTCCTGCTTCAGCCTCCCTCATCTGGGATCACCAGCGTGTACCACCATGTCTGGCTCCCCATTTATATCCTCCTCCTCTTCCTCTTCATCCTCCTCCTCCTTCATATTTTTTTCATATGGTTTTATTTCATTTTGTTTGTTTTGTTTTTTGAGACAGGGTTTCACTATGTAGTTCAGGCTGCTTGAATTCACTTATGTAGCCCAGGCAGGCCTCAAACTGACAGTGATCCTCCTGCCCCAGCCTCTTGATTGCAAGGATGACAGGCGTTTGCTTCCTGTGGATTCGAGGTCAAAACACCAAAACAGAGCCAGTGTGAAGGCGCATGTCTGCAGAGCAACTTTGGCAGCTTCTCTTGAAGCAATTAGGAGGAGCACATAGTTTTCTACCCGTTACCAGGGGTCAGACTATGAGGACTCAGAGTTTCAGGCCTCGCCTCTCTCCTCTGCAAAGGGTTTCAGATAGAGTACACCATGACTGTCTAGAGATTACATGAAACGTGTAAGCCTCAATAAATGTCAGAGATAGTTATTATTAGCATTGTTGTAGGCAGCATGAGAGTTAGAGCAAGAAAACATTTACGTCTCAGCCCACTCTTGCTGGCTTTGTGATCATGGCCAGTGACTCTCCCGGGGCTGAGCATAGAGCCTGGGGTGTAAGAAGGACTGTGTTGTGTCAGCTGTTAGTCATTACTTCCAAATAATAGTGTTACATCAATTACTTCTGGGAATGCTGCACTTTGAGAATGGAATCCAGGGATCCATACAAGATTCTTACTTTGCTATTTCCTTCCCCACTGCACAAACATATATGTGCATGCACACACACACACACACACACACACACACACACACACACACTCCAAATTCTAGCAACTTATGGAAAACTTCAAAATGTCATATTATAATACATATGACCCACTGCCTGCCAGATGCTTACAGTGTACCTGCTCCTGGGTATAAGTCCACATATACTCCTTTTCTTTTTCTTTTTCTTTTTCTCTTGTCTTCTTTTTGTTTTCTTTCTTTTTTGGTACTGGTATTTGAAACTAGGGCCTTCTCACTGAGCTACATTCATTCTTTCTATTTATTTTTTCTTGGTACTGGGTATTGAACTCATGGCTTCGCACTTACCAGGCAGGCGCTTGAGGCTGCTGAGCTAAACCCCTGGCCCTAGGTTCTCATTCTCGTGAAGCTTGTGTTCTGGGGAAAAAACAGACACTAAACAAGGAAATGTGTGTAGGGCAAGTGTCTCTTATGCAAAATGCTTTTTTTTTTTTTTTTTTTGGTACTAGGGATCAAACTCATAAGCTCCCACTTGCCAGGCAGGTGCTTATGCCACTGAACTAAATCCCCAGGCCCCTGCAAAATGTTTTCTAACAGGGGTGTTTGGGATATCAGATTATAGAATGTTTGCACATGTATAATGAGATATCAAGTTGTAGCAAGAAATTTATTTATGTTTCATATATACCTTATATACAAGGCCTGAAGGTAATTTTATTGTTTTAATTAAAAATTTTTATTTTTGATTTTCTAAGATTGCATCTCATGGGGCTGGAGGTTTAGCTCAGCGGCATAAGCCCCTGCCTTGCAAGTAGGCAGTCGTGAGTTCGATCCCCAGTACCGATAAAAAGGAAAAAGACAAAAATAAAAAATAAAAAATAAAAGATTGCATCTCACTTTGTAGCCCAGGCTGGTCTCAAACTTGCAGCAATTCTTCCTCAGCCTTCCAAGTGCTTGGATTACAGCCGTGTGCCACTATACTGACGTGAAGATGGTCTTATTTGTTTTATTTGGGAGAGTGGAAATTGAACTCAGAACCTAGCCCTCGCCAGGCAGGTTCTATATCACTGAGTTATATCACCAGCCCTGTTTATTTTTGAAACGGGGTTTCACTACGTAGTTCAGACCAGCCTTGAACTCACTATGTAACCCAGGCTGGCCTTGAGCTCTTGGAGATCCTCCCACCTCAGCCTCCTGAGTGCTGGGATTATAGGCACATGCCACCACACCTGGTTCTCAAAAGTGGTTTCATACAGTATTTTTCATGTACCTGCCTCACTTCCCGCTCCTGCTCCATACTGGGGATTGAACTCAGGTGTGCTCTGCTGACCTCCAAATCCTTTTTAAATTTATTTTTTATTTTTGAGACAAGGTCTCACTAAGTTGCTGACTTTCCCAGGCAGGGCTTGAACTTGTGATCCTCCTGTTTCAGCCTCCCAGCATGCTAGATGAGCCTGCCTTTTGACTATGACTCATCACAGAGAGTTAGGTATGGAATTTTCTACTTGTGGATGCTCAGAAAATTTCAGGTTTGGAGGATTTTGGATTTTTGGATTAGTGATAGTCATCCTTCATATGAACAATTACTTTTGGGTAGTAATAAGCACCTTGTAGGCAAGAAGGTCAAACGGCACGGTAGTGTTGGCAAGTTACTTCACACCGGTGCTGGTTGCTCTGTGGAGACTTCCCCGAAAGATCTGAGTACAGAAGTGTTCCAGACATGTGTTTTCATTAAAGACTTCTTCCTACATCATTGCAGTGCATAATGATTCTATTCATCATGTGGAGTCGGTACATGTACATAAAACATCTTAACTCTTTTTATTTCATCTTCCCTTGTGCTTCCGTAAATATTTCTGATTTAATACATTTACTAGAATTTGATTACCATGAGGGAGGGAGGAAACTTCCTCTATCTTGTTCTCCATGGTATCTCCAGCATCAGCATAGATGAAACTCTCTCTGCTGAACCATTTACCAGAGTGAATGAATGTGTAAACACATATACTTATTTTTTTTTCTGTATCTGGGATCAAACTTGCGACCTCATGCTTACCAGGCAGACACTTATGTCACTGAGCTAAATCCCTGGCCCACACATATACTTCATTCATTCACTTAAATCAGTGGTTTTCAATGGGGACATGTGTGTGCCTTCAGTGATTTCTGGTTTTGGTTGTCACAGGGATGGTGAGGGTGGTTCCAGGCATTTACAGAGAAAAAAGATATGAAACATATTGTTCCATAAGGCAACCTGACGGTCAGTTGATCTGTCACACATTCATGTAGAAGAGAAATAATTTTACGATCACCCAAGCCCAGACATTAACTCCTTCTCACAAAAAGAAACAGAAAGTGTCACTACCACCACCACCATTACCAACACCTTTCTGGGGATCAAACCCAGGACCTAGAGCACACAGGCCAGTGCTGTACCACTGAGCTACATCCTCAGACATAGTCTGTTTTGGAGGGTGGGGGACAGGGTCTTGCTCTGTAGTTCAGACTGGCCTTGAACTCACTATGTGGTCCAGGCTGGCCTTGAACTCACTATGTGGTCCAGGCTGGCCTCCAACTTGCAGAGATCCTCCTGCCTCAGACTCCAAGTGCCATGTGGCACTTGCCACCACGCCCAGCAGAAAGTAATTTCTGACCTTTAAGTACAAAGTAAGTTTCCAAGAATGACACTAGAGTGTAAATAGAAGGAATTATTTTATCTTGACTTATTGCTGTTGTTAAAATTTGTCCATCTTTTCAAAAAAATCACACCACCCGGGGACACTTCTGCGTTTCCAGTGCCCTCCATGAGTACACTCAAGGTTATGGTATTCTGAATATTTCAGTAGTCTTATGTATTTGGGACCCAAACATCCACATACTAAACCACCTATTATTTTGTTATAGCCTGTTGTATGCACCCCTATTTTACCATTACGCGTTCCTTTGCGGTTTTACACATTATGTGGGTTAAGCCACCCATGGGTCCCTTCCAATACCCGGAGGACTGGGCTGGGGTAGGGTGGGGTAGGATGGGGGCGTTTCCATCTATTTGCTTTGGAAAGAAGCCCTGGGGTCGGCCACAGCCACCAGCGGGCGGTCCTCCGCACGCCAGGGGTCGCTGTTACACCGCGCGGCCGCTCCGGGTCGCTCTCGCGTGGCCGCCCCGCCTCGGGCCCCCGGGCCGAGTGGGCGGGCACGACTGCGCCCAGGTCGCGAGGCGCCCTTCGACCAGCAGCGCCCGGGGCGGGCGGGTATAAATGGAGCGGTGGCTGCCCGAGCCGCCTCTCTCCGCCCCGGGTCGCCGCTGCCTGCGCCGCTTTTGGGCTCAGCAGCCCGAAGCAAAAAAAAGAAAAAGATAAAAAAAAAAACCCGAAAACGCTTCAAAACCTAAAAAAAAAAAAAGAAAAAAAGCGAGTCCTCCTCGGAGAGCCGGCGGGGAAGTCACTTGCGCACGCTTCCGGCCTGCCTGCGCCCGACGTCCGTCCGTGTCCGTCCGTCCGCCCGCCCGCCGGCCCGGTGGTGAGCCGCGCGCCCGCCCGCCCCAGCCCTCCGCGCCCGCGCCTCCGTCCCGCCGCGCCGCGCCGCGTGGCACCGGCCCGCGCCCCCGCCGCCGGCCCGGCGCACCACGTGTCCGCGCTGCCCTTCGCCGCCGCGCCGCCGCCCGGGGCTTGCCGCGCCGGCACCCGCAAAGATTTAGTTTCCCCTTCCCTGGCTGCTGTAATCTTAAACCGCTGGGAGCCCGGGCCTATATTTATCGAGAAACGCGTGTCCCCAAGGCCAACGTGGGCAGCATCTGGCTGCCTCTGGAAGAATTTTTTTTTTTTTTGCCCCACTAAGGCAGGGGATTTCCCCACTTGATTTTTTTTTTCTTTTGGAATTTGGAGCTTTGAGCCAGGACAGCTGGAAATAACAAACTCCCGGGGAGGGCCATATTGTTTTTTGAGAGCCTTTGTCTGGGGTTCTGCGTCCCGTGTGAGCCGACCCCAAGCTCCCCGTGCAGCCTCGGAGCCTTCTGACTGTATCTTCCCCCGCGTCGCCCTGTGCCACCTGTGAGCCGCGGCGCGGCCCACGGCTCCGAGACGAGCCCCTTTTGTCCTGCGTTGGGCCCTGTGAGAAGTCCTCCTGGCGGGGCTCGGGGTGGTGGGGGGCGGGGAGATGAACGCTGCAGCCAGCAGCTACCCCATGGCCTCCCTCTACGTGGGCGATCTGCACTCGGACGTCACCGAGGCCATGCTCTATGAAAAGTTCAGTCCAGCGGGGCCTGTGCTGTCCATCCGGGTCTGCCGAGATATGATCACCCGCCGCTCCCTGGGTTATGCCTACGTCAACTTCCAGCAGCCAGCTGACGGTGAGTAGCAGCAGTGCCCACATACACATTCGCAGAATCCTGGGGACCTCAGAAGTCAGCTTGGCAGGACCCTGCTGGCATGAAGGGGACATCACTACAGCATGTTGGCACAGAATCCGCAGTGGCGAGCAGGATGCAGGGATTGAGGACATAAGGCCTGATATGTTGTCATGACCTGAGTCTCAATCTTGCTTCCACCACTTGCTAACCGCTGCATGACCTTGGGCCACTCGGTGGTTGGGGGGAGGGGTTGAAATCCAAGGGGAGGCTGTAAATCGTGATCTGAGTGAAGTTAACTTTGTTGTTCCAGTGTGACTGAACCCGCTTCAGTGAGGTTGAGCTGTTAGAAGACCCTGGCCTTGTCAGTGGGCACAGGCTGGTGCCCCTCTGAGGCAGGTGGATTGAAACAATGCCATGTTTAGATTGCTGCCCTGCCCCCTACCCCACGTTTAGCCTGGACTGAATCTTGATTTTGTATTGCTAATAGATGGCTCCTTTAAGGCAGGTAGGAAGCCAGGGGAGCTATTCTGTGCCTTAGACTCAGGAGGGGCACCAGAGCTTCAGGTGCTAGGCCAGCTCCTTCCTGTATGTTGGTCACTAGTGTGAAGTGCTTTGCTTTGGATGAAGCTGTAGTCTGGAGAAGTATCTTAAAATCAGATGGGCTGATAGCATTATTGTCTCACCTGTGAACCACACTTAATGCTTGTCAGAACTCTCTGACTTCATTTTATTGGAAGAAGATAGGGTCCCAGCTACTGGGAAAGGAACTTTGGGACTCCCATTGCAGACGGTGGCCTTCCTTTGGGGGCTGCAGAGAGGTATGCAGTAGGCGTGGCACAAGTGGGCCAGAGAGGAAACCTAATCAGGGACTGCATGTGACTTCAGATTAAAGGGGAACAACTGCGGAGACCATCACTGGGAGAAACAAGTCATTCTGTGCAGAGGATCTCCAGGTTCCTATTTTTGTCCCCCCTTTATTTACTGTCAGTGGGGCAATGTTACTTGCCCAACTTGTAGCTGCATCTAGATTTGGCTAGTCTTCTAAATGCGCCATGAGCTGAGTTCTGTCTCTGGCCACTGGAATACAAAGGAGGTAGCTGAGTGTGGCCTTTTTAGTGGGGAGTATTGGGTGTATTAGCCTTTGCCTGCCTTGACTCTGAACAAAAGTTGTGTCACTTGTAGATATAGTAGAAGCCATTGGTCTGTGTGTTTGCCAACACATACCTCTGCAGGACTTCTGCCTGCTATAAATAAGTGTAGCCAGATTTGTCAGACTAAGCTGACTTGCCCTGTGCAGAACTCTCTGGAAGCAGACCAGGAGCTGTGCTGAAGTGGGCTTCTTTGCTGCTAACCTAATTGAAGTTTGTTTCAGGCTGAATATTTCAAATACGAACCTGGATGTTTCCTGACTTGGAATCTGTCTTCCTTTTTCTGCTACCACTACCCCATCTTCTGTCAAAGATGAGAAAACTTGATCAAAATGAGTGTGAAAAAATTCCCTTGGCTTATTGGGCAGTTGGACTTATGGAGGTGCAGTTCGTTTTGTCCCCATTTAAGCGAGCTGCCTTGAGGTCAGGAGTGGGCATCTCGACTCTACCTGCTTTAGTCCCCTCATGGGGATGTTGTGGATAGAGTCGGTCACTGTGATGAGTTTATGGAAGGAGGAGAGTTGCCGCCAGTGAAAAGTATTCCTGGCCATCAGGTGGTATGTTTTAGCCCTCGGTCTTCTTTCAGTGTGGTCTCTGGTGTACACATGTATTTGGTTGGAAAACTCCTTGCCCCAGTGCACTAGATGGAGAGCCACCAGGGCAGTTAAATTCCTAGAATTCCATAAACTCTGATTAAGCTTCCAAAGGCCAGAATACCACTAGGCCAGGACCTGCCTGCACTGTGTCCTCCTAGAAAGGTGTGGCAATTTTGTTTTTCCAGTATTAGAAATTGAACCCCAGCTCAGCAAAGTTTCATCCTTTTTGCCCTGAAAATGCAACAGATGATGTTCCATGTGTGTGACCAGTAGTATCTGTAGATGATGGATTTTTTTTTAATATTAAGTCACTTTTCATTCTCAGAAATTGAAACTATGTTGTATAAGAAACTGTGGAATGCAGGGATAGCATCAGAAAATCTGGTAATGGTTTTTGATCACTAGCTAACTACATAGCATAGCCACCCTGAATGTAACTATTCTATTTTATTAAAAATGGAGTTTCAGCTGTCCCACCTGAGTAGTCACTGCAGAATCTCTAGCTTAATCAAAGGTGAGGTATTATCTTGTTTTGGCGCCATGAAGGTTTCCCACCACTTGCCCATCCTGGGGATTGAACTCAGAGCTTTCACACAGAGCTATGCCCTAGCCCTGTTCTTTTTTTATTCTGAGACAATATCTTGCTAAGTTTCTCAGACTGGGCTTGAACTTGTGATCCTCAGGCCTTAGCCTCCCAAAATGCTGGGTTTACAGGCATGCCACTACACTTGGGGAAGGCCTGTTTTAGTAGAATTGCCTTTTATCAGTGACTACCTGGAAATTTGTGGAGTAGTCCGTGTGTCTCCCAGATAATGGCAGTCACCTATGCTCTCATGAGTTGATGTTTTACATCCTGGATTGAATTGTGTTTGTTTCTTACAGCTGAGCGGGCCTTGGACACCATGAACTTTGATGTGATTAAAGGAAAGCCAATCCGTATCATGTGGTCTCAGAGGGATCCCTCTTTGAGAAAATCTGGTGTGGGAAACGTCTTCATCAAGAACCTGGACAAATCTATAGATAACAAGGCACTTTATGATACCTTCTCTGCTTTTGGAAACATTCTGTCCTGCAAGGTAAACACAGATTAAGTGAATTCAGCAGATTTCTTTTTTAAGTTTTATTAGTGTATGTTTGGAATTCACACAGTTTAGTCGTTTTGGGGAGTGACTGTATGTACATATTATAGTTCGGTGGGGTTTTTTTTCCTAATCCCCTCTACTTGTGTTCCCCATCACGTTTTTTGTACTTGTTAATACTGTTCACCTTAGCTCACATTAATGGTGTATAATGTGCAGACCAGTTGGAGTTACTTGGACCTTGTATAGTGTATCAGTTCCTCTCATTTCCCCTTCCCCACCTCCTACCGCCTCTCCTTGTTCCTTTGAACCACTTTGCTGTTGGATGGGAAACAGAATAATTACGAATCTTGTTTGTTTGTTTGTTTTGAGACAGGATTTCACCATGAGTTTTTAGCCAGCCTAGAACTCATGAGAGTCCTCTTGCTTCAGCCTGCTGAGTGCTAGGATGACAGGCATGTGCCACCATTCTTGGCAGTTACTGAATCCTGAGATAAAATAAATACTAGGTGGGGAGCTTATCCCACTAGGGATAGCAAGTTATGGTAATTTTCAAAATGCTGGAAGTGGAATCTCAAAAGTTCCCATAGGTATTGTCAGAGCCACGACCCAGCATAGCTAGCAGGTGCTTTTGTGGTTATTCTTTCCGTAGCCTGAAACAACCTTCTAGCTTTTTAATTTTGGAAAACTCAAAAGGTTTTTTGAGGGGTTGAAGCAGTAGATCACTAAGTGTAAGACCAACCTGAATTACATAGCAAATTTTAAATTTAAAAAGCTGAGCATGGCATAGAATACCTGTAAACTCAGCACTTGGGAGGCTGAGGCAGGGGGATCACTGCAAGTTTACCTCCAGCCTGGGCTACATAACAAGACCTGTTTCCAAAAAAAAAGTGGGGGAGGCTTTTGCTTTGGATAAGTGAGAACACCAGAGAAGTATGTATGATCTTCAGGAAGCTCTACTTAAATTCAGCTGGGTCTGGTAGCACACACCTGGAATCCAAGGTGTTAGGGAGATTTTGGCAGTTTGAGTTTATAAGTTTGAGGCCTGCCTGGATAATTTAATGAGATCCTACCTCAAAATAAATTTTTTTTTCCAAAATAAAATTTTGTAAAAGACCGGGGATGTCAGGATTAGAGCACTTAGCTATTGATTGAGGCCCTGGGTTCAATCCTTGGTACTGAAGTACCAAATATAGATGTTTCTTTTCCAAACATCTGTTTATGTGGCGCACTTGGTAAAACATAAGATCTTGAGTATTTACATGGCTCATATTACATGGGACTGAAATTGTTTTGTGGAGTCAGAAAACAGTTTTATCAGTGCAACACTGGTTTATACCCAGATACCCTAGATGTTTAATTAAATGAAGCAAGAGGACATTCAGAATAGAAGCAGCCCAGCAGTGCCAACTGTTTGTGAGTTGGGCACTTCCTGGGTGCCTGGTACTGTGCCTCAGTGCTAAGAGGCATCATTGCTGGTGCAGCTGGCTGCATCCGACCACAGGTGTATCTCGAGTTGCCCAGTGGTCCTAAGGTCATCGGCCTTTTCTTTGACAGGTGGTGTGTGATGAGAATGGCTCTAAGGGTTATGCCTTTGTCCACTTCGAGACCCAAGAGGCTGCCGACAAGGCCATCGAGAAGATGAATGGCATGCTCCTCAATGACCGCAAAGTGTGAGTGTCCCAGTCCGGAGCATCAACCATCGCATGAGCCAGCTGTGGCCCCACTTCGGTATTAACTGGCACACACAAGGCGGCTACTGGTTCTCTCGGCCCAAGTGTGGCCTGCTCCTACCTCTCCACTCCAGGGCTGGTGAGTCTCCCTGCCCGAGCTGTGGCAGCCCTTTTGACTCGCCAAGGTGGGCTCCCTGCCCATGCCATGGCCTGCCTGCTGCCTCTCCCTTAAAGGCATCCGTCCATGGGTTTGTGAGCACCAGCAGCTGGGGTTGCTGGAGGCAGCTCTAAGCCCACTTTGAGCAGGGGTCTTGGCCAGCGACAGAGTGGAGAGGGCCCTGGGCTCACCAGGCACCGTATATTAGCTCTGTGCCCTTGACTTCTTTGACTCAGGTCTGTCCATAGATCTCACTGGTTGTTGATACCTAATTGTCCCTCCTATTCTCCATTCTTTAACCTGTGGCTCAGAAACCAGTATAAGACTTGCTCCACAATAATATTGGTTACAGTGAAAACCCCACCCTCTGAAAGAGAGGGTTTATAGCAGATCTCATTGCTCTGGTGCAGTTGTGACTGTGGAGTGGAGAGGGTTGTGAAGGGGGTAAAGTACTGCATATGTGTCTTCATTATTTTAAGCGAAAGTCGTGTCTGTCCATGGTATTGAGGGAGTCAGAGGATGCATTGTACTTAGAACATCTGTGTGCCCAGTGGTGACTAATCACAAGAAATGGAGAAATGGTCAGTGTACAGAGACATTTTTCCCATCAGATATACTAAGGTGAATACAGTAAAATAGCAAAGGTTATCTCTCCACTTGCAGCAACTTCAAACCTACGACTGACTAACCACTGTTAACAGTTTGGTTTGCATTCTTCCAGACCTTTACTGTACATCATTTACATAGGCACAGATATGAACATTGTTTTTTTTTTTTTTTAAACATGGTCATTAGGTTTCTTATGAAGGCAGTGTGATGTGACAGGAGTAGCCCTGGTCTGAGCCAGGAGCCCTGGGCTGGTCCTTGCAGGATAGTCCTGCCTCTTCTCTTTCTGTTGGGTACTTGGGGTATCTCTGAGACTCCTCCTGGATAGGTGGGGACTTAGTGTATTTTAACTTGCCTGCCTTGCGGCCCCTGGAAATCATGTTTTAATATCTCTAGGTGATAACTTTTTTCATGGTTTCTTTTTAGGTTTGTAGGCAGATTCAAGTCTCGCAAAGAGCGGGAGGCTGAGCTTGGAGCCAAAGCCAAAGAATTCACCAATGTTTATATCAAGAACTTTGGAGAAGAGGTGGACGATGAGAATCTGAAAGAGCTGTTTAGCCAGTTTGGTAAGTTGATGTCCTGAGTTCACATATTCCCTTTTATAGTCTAGCAGCCCTGGAGTACCACCTGTTACTTAAAGAGACGCATGCCTTCCGACCCAGAAATAAAGTACCTTATGTGACACAGGTCACAAGGTGTACAGATAGGCTTCAGGCCTTGGCTTGGTTTCATCCTACCTCCTTTCACCCCTAAGGCCATCTCAGCTGCTTAGTGAGAATTAGAAGACCAGACATGGCACCTCTTTTTCTGTCTCGTATCTGTCGATTCTGCCAGAGATTTGCTTCAGTTGGGTTTCTAGAGAGAATCCCTCTGTGTGCGGTATGGTAGAGATGGTGTCACTAATAGTTCTGTCCTTTGATAATAGGTAAGACCCTCAGTGTCAAGGTGATGAGAGATCCCAGTGGAAAATCCAAAGGCTTTGGCTTTGTGAGTTATGAAAAACACGAGGATGCCAATAAGGTGAGCAAGCCTCTTTTGAGGGTTGGGAAGCCTCTATAGGCGGCTCGCGTGTGTGGGCAGACCCTTGCTTAGCGCAGAGCACAGTTGAGCGGAGCTGAAGTGGTGTGAGTGGTGGTAGATGCATTCTCTGCAGAGCTGTGTTCCTCGGGGGTATGTCAATCACTGTGGTGGTTAACTGTGGTTTTTTGTTTTTGTTTTGTTTTGTTTTTTGAGGCAGGGTCTAGCTCTGTAGTTCAGGCTGGGCTCAAACTCAACATGGATTCTTCTGTCTCAGCCAATGTGTCCAGCTACTTAACTTATTTAACTGTTTTAAAGCACTTCCCGTACCTGTCGCTGTCAGCTGTTGAATGGATGACAGATGTTTGTTCTCATTTATAGGCAAAAGAACTAAAGTCCAGAGAGTTGACCTGATTATAGCACAGCTGCTACTTTTCAGCAAAATAGTGAGCTAGGCTCTCAGCATGTATCACTTAATATTCACAAAGGAACCTGAGATATTTAGTGATAGCCACATTCAAATTAGGGTACTGTTTATTTTTTGTTCATTTTGGTTTTGGTTGAACTCAAGGTCTCCTGCTTCAGTCTCCTAAGTGCTAGAATTCCAAGCATGTACCTCTGTGCCTAGATCCCATTTAGTATTAACCCCAGTTTACAGATAGAGGAATTTTAAATGTTTGGCAGACTAGAAAGATGAAATAAAATTAATATTAGCCTGTATAAAAGATTTTCTCAGAACACTTAGTTGAGCTTACAGTGCTCCCAATAGGGCTAGTGTCTCTGTGATTCATGTTTGTTTTAAAAGACATGCGTTTCCTCTCTAGGCCGTGGAAGAGATGAATGGAAAAGAAATCAATGGGAAAATCATATTTGTAGGCCGTGCACAGAAGAAAGTAGAGCGGCAGGCTGAGTTAAAACGGAAATTTGAGCAGCTGAAACAGGAGAGAATTAGTCGATACCAGGTGAGATGGGGTGAGCCAGCCCGTTGTGGGGGTATTTCCCATGAAATACTTGCAAAGCACCCTTTTAGCAAGCTTAAAAGGATCTGTACCAACCAGATAAGGCAACAGTTACTTAACAGGGGCAAGTGACTTCATTTAGAAGCCCTCCATTCTGGAACCCTCTGGCCTGTTGTTCCTTGCTGCATAGGTTCCTTTTTACTCAAATGGTAACCTCTAAACATGTAGTAATAAAAACTGGTGCCCCTTCGTTAGGAGTAGTGCAGGAATGCTGCCTGGGTAAGTGGTTAGCCAGAATTCCCTCTGGAGGAGGGTTACGAGTCCTGCATTGATGGTCTCAGCAGTCCCAGGTAATTTCTCAGCATTGAGATTGCAACAGAATTGTCAGTGGGACTTGTTTTTTGAGACAGAGTCTAACTATATAGTTCAGGTAAGTCTTGACCTTGGGGTAGCCAGCCTCCCAGGTGCTAGGGATTACAGACATGTACCACTATGCCAGGCCAAATCCAGCTTTTGTGTATATGTGTGTGTGCTCTACTTGATGAAACATGCTGGGCTCTAAACCCAGAGTTCCTGATTAATTGGGTTTAAGGTCTAGCCTAGAAATCTACCACCCCTACAATGTTGGGGCTCAAACCCAGGGGTCTCCTGTCTGCTGTGCAGGCCCTCTTCTACTAGTTTGTTTTTTTTTTTAAGGCAACTTTTCAGTTATCCTGGCTGGCCACAAACCTGAGATCTTCTTGCTTTAGCCACCTGAGTAGCTGGGGTTATGGGTGCAGTGGTGGGGAGGTGAGACAGGGTTTTGCTAAATAGCTCAGGCTGGCTTCTAAATCTAGACAGTCCTCCTGCCTCAGCTGTACAAGTGCTTGGACTACAGGTATATATCATCACACCTGGCAAGAATACTCATTTCTGTTTGTCTTTTTTTGGAGGGAGTACCAGGGATCAAACTGATGACCTCACACTTGCCAGGCAGGTGCTTAAGCTGCTGAGCTAAATCCCGGCCTCTAGAATACTCGTTTCTAACAAAGTCCCAAACAGCTAGCTCTTGCTGTTGCTCTGGGGACCACAGATTGGGAACAACTATTACAGAGAAATTAGATTTAGAAAGAAGTTAATAATGATGTTTCTCTTTCAGGGAGTAAATCTCTACATTAAGAACTTGGACGACACCATTGATGATGAGAAATTAAGAAAAGAATTTTCTCCTTTTGGATCAATCACCAGTGCTAAGGTACTTCCATACGGAATTTTGTAGTTGAAAACACTTTCGCAGGTTTCTCGGTCTAAGTTAACTGGTGTTTCTGAGTGTAGCTACTTCCTTCGGCATAGCGTTTACAAGGGTGCGTCACAGGATCAGCATTGCTGTCCGCCCTGCGGTGGACACGAGTCTGAGCCAGGCCTCCTGCTGCCTTCCTCAGCACCCAATCTTTCCCATTCCTGCTGCTTTGTGCTGGCCTGGGGACAGTGGGTGCTACAACATGAGCAGAGGATATCCAGACGGGTTGCTTTCCATTTGTCTTGGGGCCTGTCTCTACAACTCTGCCACATTGCTCCTTGAGAGTGAAGCTGTTTTGAGGATTTGGGAGCTGGGGCTTAACAGCCATTTTCATGGTCTCACTAAGAAAAATAGTGGAAGCTGAGCATGTTGGCGCGCACCTGTCATCCTAGCACTTGAGAGAGGCTGGTTCAGGATCGCTGTGAGGTCAAGACCAGCCAAGGCTTTAGCCTTGTGTGAGGCCAGTCTTAACTACATAACAAGACACTGTCTAAAAAAAAAATGGGGTGTTTTTCCATGGTTTGGCTTCCTTGATGTTCTTTGATCATATCAATTAAGTCAGCAGGCTTTTAAAGACAAAGAATGAGTCCTTGAGCCAGAAAAGAACGTTGACTGTGTTGTGGTGGTATGCTGTGTGGTCGTGGCACTGAGGAGTGTGGTGGGGGCTGGGGACACCAGGGAAGTTTTACATCCTGGCCTGTCTGGCAGAGGTGCAGTAGAGGCCACAGAGTCCTTTGGGAGATGAATGGAGGTTGGGTTGGCCCTACCCTGGCCCTTTGCGAATGTTGTTCTCAACACTAGAACACTGTGCAAAGAAACTTGATCAGTTGTGGGAAGCTGAGCAAGGCCATCTCGGTGGGGTTCGCCCTCTTCCTCTCGGCATCACTCCTCTCACTGGTCTCTTGGCTGCAAGGGATGATATTTCTGTCTACCTGCACACCTGACAAGTTGGCACTGGTGAGGAGTGGCTGAAAAGATTCGAATTAGAAGTTTCAGGCAGTGTTGTTTTGTTTTGTTTTTAGTAGTATCTATTTGGCATACATAATGATCACATTCAGCATAGGAAATTGGTGACTGTTCATAATAATCTTCATATCTCCCGTTCCCCTCATCAACTCCTTTCTCCCCACTGACAAAAGCTTGTTTCCATTTTTCCCTTCCATTTGATTTTCATAATCCTTTTCCCTCCCTCTCTTGTTCCTCTCCCCATTTGATCATGTTGCTCCTATTTCCTAATAATATTTACCCCGTTTTATTCCTTTTGAGTTTCTCGCACAAGGGAAACAATGCAGTATTTAAATTGGTGCAGGCACTGTTCTTCAGATTCTGTTGGGGCATTGTTTTACACACCTTACTGGCCTGCCTCACTGGTAGGAAGTTACTGGGTTGGTACCTGTCGATATCCAAGTCCTCCACTTGAGAGAGTCCATCCAGGCCACTAAGACACAAATGATGTGAAGCACAAGAAGACATATACCTGGGAAAATGACTGCCCAAATCAGAAGCTCTGTGGCTATTTTACAGCTTTTTGTCCTGGAGTAGACCATAGAAACTGAGGCTCAAAGCAATTAAGAGTTGAGTTAGATTCTGGGTTCCTGGGCTCGGTGAATTGTGTTTGTTGTTCCTATCAAGTTAGTGGTGGCAATCCTTGATGACCTTGTTGAAATTTTGTCCATGAAGGCTTTGGACTGGATTAGCTCTACAAATAAATTGCTCCACACTGTTATCAAGGATACCTAGGGGTGTTGTGTTGCTCAGATATCAGGAAATGTCTTCAGGTTCTGGTTCTACCATTAGCTACATCATAGGGTTTAGGGAATGTTAGCATCATCTGGGGATTTAAAGAAAATTTCTAGATACCTTAAAGGTACATCTTTACTGGTCCTAGGGTACGTTCTAGGTCACAGTGCATCCTGGACCTAAAATTGGTAACTCTGGAGCAGAGTCTAGATTTTTGGCTGTCATGAGTAGCTCCTCCTCACCACATTTAGGTAGCTGGTCTCATTTTGTAGGTAATGCTGGAGGATGGAAGAAGCAAAGGATTTGGTTTCGTCTGTTTCTCATCTCCTGAGGAGGCAACCAAAGCAGTCACTGAAATGAATGGGCGCATTGTGGGTTCCAAGCCATTGTATGTTGCCCTGGCCCAAAGGAAGGAGGAGAGAAAGGCTCACCTAACCAACCAGTACATGCAGCGAGTGGCTGGAATGAGAGCGCTCCCGGCCAATGCCATCTTAAACCAGTTTCAGCCTGCAGCTGGTGGCTACTTTGTGCCAGCGGTTCCACAGGTGGGTCGGCCACATAGCATGACTCTGGGACATGCCTGTATTTTGCAGTGGTTGGGAAGGGATTTTTTTTTAAATTAAATTTATTGGTACATTCCAGGTATACATAATGTTCATGTTTGTCATAGAGAATTTGCCTATACCTGGTACAACCCCCCCCCCCCGGTTCCCCTATTCCTTCAATCCCTGGGGAGGGGTTTTAATGCATTCTAGAATGTTAAAGGCACTATAAGTAAAAGTGAAGAGCAAGGTATGATTATAAGGCTGTAACTCTGACCCTTTTCAAACATTTTTGCCTCACTCTTCCTGCTATCCCCACCTTTCCCAACATGTGAGAGGCTGAGGCAAGAACACAAGTTCAAGCCCAGCCTGGGCAACTTAGATCCTGTGTCATAATGGGGGGGGGGGGGCGGAATTGTAGCTCACCCAGTGTGAAGGCCTTGGGTTCAACCAAGTATCCACCCAAAAAGAGAATGAAGGACTTGATCGTGATCATACACGCACAGTAGAAGGGAGAGAATAGACTGCCCTGAGGACCCTTAACCAGCACTTCAGCTTTTGAGTAGAGATCTTTATTCTAAATAGCCTCGGCCAGTGGTGTTGAACCTTTGACGTGTATATTGTGTTTAAGACAAAAAGATGTTACTGCACAAGTTGTTCTTATAAATGAAAACCCCAGTATTTAGGCTTAACTGCAATGTTAGTTCTTTGCGATAAATAATTAGGTTTTAGATTATAGTTTGGGCATTTGTTTCTAAAAGGTTCACCGTCACTGGCCTAGGGCCTAGTAGCGAGGTAACAGTTTAGCTGGGTTCAGGTCTGTAAAATAAAAGGACTTAGGTGCTCTTTCCCTATAGGCTCAGGGACGACCGCCGTATTACACACCTAACCAATTGGCACAGATGAGGCCTAATCCACGCTGGCAGCAGGGTGGGAGACCTCAAGGTAAGTGGTAGGAGCAGAGCCTGCCCAGGATGTACCTAGTCTGTCTGCCTGCTTTTTCCTGCATGCATCTTGTGGGGCAGAGCCTAGCTTCTCTTGGTCCGTGTTGCTTGTCAGTAATGAGCAATTTCTGTCTTACCTCCAGGCTTCCAAGGAATGCCGAGCGCTATACGCCAATCTGGGCCTCGTCCAACTCTTCGCCATCTGGCTCCAACTGGTAATGCTCCGGCCTCTCGTGGCCTCCCTACTACCACTCAGAGAGTCGGTGAGCAAACTGGCCTGTAGGAGCGTGGCCTGGGGAGGAGGGAGTCAGGAGAACTAGCTCTGCCCTCGCTTGGTCAGTTTGTTCGGCTCATGTGTGGAGCCCTGGTTCTGTTACCTTAGCTCTGTGTTTGAGTAGGTAGGTATTTCATTCAGGAGCAGACAGCCAGTGTGAGTTCTGGGTGCGCTGGTTACTTCCACCATTCTTTGCTTATTGGTGAGTCAGGTGAAAAATGTTAATCATATTAGTTTGCTAACAGGATGACAACAGAGCATATATTTGGTGGGGCGGGAGATACAAGGAAGCTTTTTTACAGAGTGTCCTGTTCTCCAAGATGTGGAAAAGTTGTGTTAGTCTTTGGCTTATCCTGGAAAGTAGCAGTAGTGGCCCAGAGTGTGATGTGTCATGTGAACGTGCTTTGGAATCTCTCCTTCCGTGGGACGTGGCCAGTTGGACATTGGCCTCCAACACTGATGTGCATTTGCTGGTCTGTTGTAGGGTCTGAGTGCCCGGACCGCTTGGCTATGGACTTTGGTGGGGCTGGTGCCGCCCAGCAAGGGCTGACTGACAGCTGCCAGTCTGGAGGTGGTATTGGACGCACACAGAAGGGGGAAAGATGGGATTTGACGGGCCTTTGCCCAGACTGATGGGCTTTAATTGCGTTCATTCTTTCCTCAAGGTGTTCCCACAGCAGTCCCGAACCTCGCGCCTCGGGCTGCAGTTGCTGCTGCCGCTCCTCGGGCTGTGGCCCCATACAAGTATGCCTCCAGCGTCCGCAGCCCGCACCCTGCCATACAGCCCCTGCAGGTGAGGCCACCAGATGGTGTCAAAGGCATTTGCCCCATTTCTACATAGTCCTTCAGGAGGTATTGGCAACCCTGCCCCCAGTTACAGTGCTGGGTTTTGGGTTTTGGGTTTTTTGAGATGGGGTCTTGCTGTGTCACAGGCTGGCCTTGAATTTATAGTGATTCTCCTCCCTTAGCACCAAGTCCTGGAGTTACAGGTATATGCCGTCAAGCCTGCAAGGTCCCGTGCTATGCATGGTGATTTGGACCCTGTCCCTGAGAAAGTGTTCTTCTCAGAATAGCTCACTGGCCCACAGCAGGAAGCAGGTGCTTCCTCTGCTGCTTGTGTGACACCTGTGCTGAATATTCTGAGCCCTGGGTGACTTTTCTATCCAGTACCATATTTGATCCTTGACTGCTCTGCAAGGTGATTGGGATATTAAGGCAGAAAATAACTTCAATTTAGAAATTAAGAAACTTCTCTCAGATGACAAGGGCAGAAAAAAAAAAAATTAAGAAGCTTCAATTTAGAATTTAAGAAATTCAGCATTAAAAGTGTTAAGAGCAAATAGCCGGGGGATTTAGCTGAGTGGCATAATAAGTACCTGCCTGGTAAGCATGAGGTCATGAGTTCAGTTCCTGGTACCAAAAAAAAAGAGAGAGAGAGAAAGGGAATAGAGTAGCTCAGATTGCCTAAGCTGGAATTTTCAGCCTTTAGAGCTGTGCTCTTCAGTGCAAACAAAGATACAACCAGTTTGCTTCAGAGCTCAGCAGTTTTCTGTGGCAAGGCCACGCTCAGCCATTAGGTCCATAAGCTGCTTCATAGTTCTTTTTTTTTAATCAGTACCAGGGATCGAACTTATGACTGCCTGCTTGCAAGGCAGGCGCTTATGCTGCTGAGCTAAATCCCCAGCCGATAGTTCACTTTTTAGATGTGTCCCCCACCCCCAACATACTCTTAAGGGATTTCCCAGGGCTTGAGGTGAGTGTAAACTGTCTTCTGCACAGGCCCTGGTTTTAGGGCTGTGCGGTGAGCGTTAGTGCTGCATGCTGGCAGTCCTCAAGCAGCTGATAATAGTAAAAGCATTGTCACTGTGTAGGTGTGGTGTAGGATATAATTATAAATATTTTGATAGGCACATTCTTTGACCCAGCCTCCACTGAAATTAACACTAAAGGAAAGTTCCAAGAAAAGGCTACCTGCACAGATGTTCATTGTGGCCTGATTTATGGTACAGCCTTGAATTTTTGGATAGGTCAAATTGAACATCAGCAAATGGTTGCTTAGCATTATGCATTTGTTTTATTTTGGGGTTTTACTTACCCTTCTGATAGCTTGTCCTTTTTGAGTTTTTTTGGGAGGGGGAGGTTTTGAGACATCTAGCTGTGTATCCCAGGCTGGTCTCAGACTCAAAACCATCTTGCTGTGCTACCATGCCCAGCTGAACAGCGTGTCCTCTCGCATTGCAGTTAATGTCTGTAATATTCTGTTCCTCGAAACTGAAGTTCAAGAAAACAAAGCTGCCCCATTCCTCTTTCAGATTAAGAACCTAGATGTTGAGATGTTGAGTAGTGAGGCTCTCAGTCACTGCCCAGCATCCTGTCTTTGGTGCTAACCTACTGCCTGTGCTGGCTTCCAGGCACCCCAGCCTGCTGTCCACGTGCAGGGGCAGGAGCCCCTGACTGCCTCCATGCTGGCTGCCGCGCCCCCCCAGGAGCAGAAGCAGATGCTGGGTAAGTGCGCCATCAGCCTGTAAGAGGAGGTTGGCTAACCTGGACGTCAGTGTTCACTGAGGTTTCTTCTGTTTCTTTTTTGTAGTATTTGGGACTAAGTCCAGGAGTACTGAGCTACAACCTCAGCCCTTGTTTAAAATTTTGAGACAGGGTCTCCCTAAGTTACCCAGAGTGGCCTCAAACTTCTGGCCTTTCTCCCTCAGCCCTCTGAATAGCTGGGGATTAACAGATGTGCACCACTGATTTGAGCTGGTCTTTTATTGACTGTCTTGTCCACAGGAGAACGATTGTTCCCACTCATCCAAACAATGCATTCGAACCTGGCTGGCAAAATCACGGGCATGCTGCTAGAGATCGACAACTCAGAACTGCTGCACATGCTCGAGTCCCCTGAGTCTCTGCGCTCAAAGGTGAGCTGCTGCTCAGAGCTTGCAGTGACAGCTCTCGGCTCGGGAGGGTGGAGGGGGCCTGGACACTGGGTCCAGCAGAGAGGATATTCTGCCACCTTATTCCTCTCATGCCTTACTTGTGATTGATGCTGCTAGTGTGGGTGCTGAGACGTCTGTCAGCAGAGGCCACTGGGCCTGGGTATCGGGGAGGGACCTGGTGCTCTCCTGAGTCACTGACTGCGTGGCGGATTCTCCCAGGTGGATGAAGCTGTGGCAGTTCTACAGGCTCATCATGCCAAGAAAGAAGCTGCCCAGAAGGTGGGCGCCGTTGCTGCTGCTACCTCTTAGACAAGGAAAACACGTATGTTTGCCTGTCACATTTTCAATCATTTTGATTTATAAATGTCTTTGTAAAAAAGTGAGGACATTTTTCTGACATTTCACCTACGATTTGGCTTCTGAGCCTCCCACCTGAATCAGTTACTATGGAAAGAACGAAGGGGTTTGGAATTGAAGAACAAAGAGCCAGGTACAGTGGTCATGTCTTCGGTTACACTGGAAGCTGAGGCAGGAGAATTTGAGCCCAGGAGTTTAAAGCCAGCATGGCCTACATTGCAAGACCCTGTCTTGAGGGTAGAAAAAAAGTTTTCTCAAAGAGGTCAGATTTCTCTCAAGAATGTCCATAAAACTACCTCTGTTGGCTCAGATTAGTCTGTGTGCTTAGCACATAGAAGGCCTTCATTTGTCCTCTAGCACCTCTCTTCCGTCCTGTCTCTGACACAGTGGTAGATATGTAAGGAGTTATCACACACCAAAGCCTCACGACTGTGAGCATCGTTTCCTGGTTTGGCCTGGTGAGGCTGGAGAGGTGTGTATACCTGCAGCTTAGCTGTGGCACACAGCAGGCACTGGGTTGTGGTCTAGTGCCAGAGACAGCCCCACGTGAACTGCAGTTACAGAGTGTGCCCCTGCCTTGCGGAGGGGGGACAGGGGGGCGATGGGTGAGTGAAGTTTCAGCCGGCCCGGGGCCTCGGGGTAGGGAAGGGAGAGGCACGCTGAGGTTGAAGGCCCTCTTCTGGAACACCTTTGTCAGGGAGTCTCGGCAATTTTTTTTTAAATTTGTGTTGGTGCTTTTGTTTTTTTCCAGGATTCAAAAGCCAAATAATCCCTCACGGAATTGAGCTCAAGGTTTGAAGACTTCCTAGTTTGTCCTATGGACCTCAACACCAAGAACCACAAGTTGCAAATTGAATAGGTCATTTTGTATCAAAAGGTCAATTATGAAGCACCTAGAACTTTTCAATTATAAAAGTATATTCTCTGGGTTCTGCTGTGGCCCAGACATTTTTTTTTTTCTATTGTGGGTTTTGATTTTTTTTTTTCCCCAGAAATTGGTTTTATTTGATGTATCCAAGTCTTAAGTTTCTCAATAAAGAAAAAAAAAATCTCCATAAAACTGCCTGTCTTACCATGTCATTGACCAGTTTTATTCTATAAATTCCAGTTTTCACTGGAAGTAGTCTAGATACAAATACACTCTAATGAATTTAACCTCTGTTACTTATAAGCAAAAAATTTAAAGTAAACATGGTATGCAGAGGTATAAATTGAACCATTGAAAACAATGCCTAACAGCACTCATTTAACTTAGAGAAGGAGGTATTTAAATCCAGTAGGGTCAGCAGGCCTTGGGATTAGCTCTGTACAAGTTGGGGTTCTGGGCTGGCATGGACCCCAAGGACAGGTGCAATCTGGCTGATTAGCTCCATCCCTCCACCCCTTCCCCTTGTCAGATGTGCTAACAGATTGGGGCTTGACCTGCCTGTCCCCTCTATCTCCCATGGTCATTTTGCCCTTCAGGCAGGTCAGCAGAACCAGGTGCCCAGACTATGCAACTAGAGTTTCCTCTAGCAATGGGGAAGAGTGACGGAAGATTGGTGATCAGCAGTGAAGTCCTCTGTTTTGTGGGTCCTTTATTCCTCAATGAGACAGCAACCAAGCAAGGTCAGTCAATCTCATGTAGATGGTAAATCCCCAAATGTTTCTCCTTGCTGTGCTCTAACTTGTTCTTTTTCCTTAAGAGCTGGTCTCAAATGGCATTGTTGATAACCTTCCTTTATGAAGGTTCTCATCCTTTGTTCATACAGATAATAACTTTGGTACTCTTCTTTCCCCCCAGTTTTGGGAATTGAACCCAGGGAGCACTGGGCTACATCCATAGCCCTTGTAAAGCTTATTTTGAGACAGCCACAGTTGCCTGGGCTGGCCTCAACCTCCAAGCACAACCCACTACTTGGTTGATCTTTTAGCTGCCCAACATCCTGGTGGTGCTGGGTACTGTAGCTGGAGTGGACAGAGATGAAGGTGGGCCCAGAGCTTCAGCAGCAGAACTGGGGATTAGATGGCTGCCTCCAGCTGGGATTCAGCAGCAGAACAAGCGCCTGCCTGGCAAGCATGAGGTCCTGAGTTCCAATTCCTGGTACCAAAAAAAAAAAAAGGCTGCTTCCTGTGGGCAGGCTCTTTCCAGGCAGTGTTTGGATTGATGGAGGACTGAGGCAGAGTGGCCTGGGTCAGGTTTCCTGTGGGGCCTTCAACCTGTGTGTAGTGCCTACCAGCACTGCCTGGAGCCCTTGACTGTTCCTTACTTAGACTCAGAAGTGGCTTCATGGTCTGTGACTGTCCCCGGCTGGCTCCCATTTATTCTATAACCTCTGGCCCTAGACCCTTAGAGGAAGGAGTTCCCAGAGTGGCTGGTATTTTAGTTACTTTTCTTGCTACTAAGACAAAATGTCTGATACCCAAAGTTGAGGGAGGAAAGGTTTATTTGGCTCTGTATTTGTAGAGGTTTCAGTCTACAGTCAGCTTCAAGGCAAGGTGACATGGCAAAGGGAAATGGTTCATGGTGGGCAGAAGGGGGCAAGCAGCAAGAAATGACCACAGCTCTTTCGTTCCTTCTATCCAGGCTACTTAGGTGTTGGTAGCACTCTCGCCCTTGGTCCTAGTTGATCCTAGCATTGCACCATCAGTCACACGCTAGATCTAGTCACCTCTGCAAAAAACACGTAGCTGGGAAATTACAGGAACAGTCTCACCCTGTGGACTGGAACAGGTACGATATCGTTGTGTGGCCTCTATTTACAATGAGGACAGGGCTCCCTTTGGAAAGATGAAGACAAATATTAGAAAGTTGAAAGTATCTTGTTAACCAGGCGGCCATGAACAAACACCACTCGAAGCCTTCAGTTCTTCAAGGCATTTTTCTTTCTCTGGTGCTGGGGTGAACCCAAGATCTCGTGCATGCTGGGTAAGTGCTTTACCAATGAGCTACATCTCTTTCAGTTGTTAGTCTGAAGGGGAAGATGGCTTTGGAGGTCCTTCTCTACCTAATGTGTCAGCTTTCCTGTTGCTGGGACAAAATGCTTGACACCTGCAGTTTACGGAGAAATTTTGCCTTACAGTTTCAGTGCTATTTTAATATTTTTTCTTTAGGGGGATGGGGCATGGTACTGATTGAAGGCCCTTTGCACTGAGAACACCCCAGCCCTCTGTGTTGTCTGTACCAGGAATCAAACTCAGGACCTCACACCTGCCAGGCAGGCACTGTGCCACTAAGCTATACCCCTGATCCTACCCTTTCTTTAGTTTGTTTTTGAGATAATCCCACTAAGTTTCCCTGAAATTTGTGATCCTCCTGACTCAGCCTCCCAGAATGCTGGGTGGGATTACAGGCATGTCCCACACCCAGACTGGCTTACAGTTCCAATGGGATAACTCATAGTCAGCTGACCCCCAACACAAACAGCATGCTGGAAGGACCTGGCAGAGGAAAGCATGGTGACAGGGAAGCAGAGTTCCTGAGGATAGAGGAAACAGCCAGAAGAGATTCACCTCTTCCATCCAGGCCCCACCTCTGGACCTGTGTTTGAAACTTAAACTGTAACACCTGATTTTGTAAGTTAGTAACTTGGTCTCCCCTAGGGAAAGCAAGTTTTTCCTCAGGCCCAGTTTATCTTCCCTTTGGTTGTCACCTAAATCAGTAGCAATTCTACACACAGTTAGTGCTTGGTTGAAAGGAAAGATTGTTTCCTTACATTAACAACTTTTTTTTTTTGGTCTTTTCTGAGACAGGGTCTCCCTATGCAGTTCAGACTGGCCTTGAGCTCACTTTGTAACTCAGGCTGGTCTTGAACTTGCAAGGATCCTCCTGCCTCAGCCTTCTGAGTGCTGGGATTGCAGCATGTGCCACCATGCCCAGCCTGGTTTTTCCTACTTTGTGTAAATTTTGTGAACAAAAATCATCCAAATGCTAGGAAAGAAACTGAAGGCTTAAATCTATAGTAGCTTAAATCTGCAAATATTTTTTTCTCATTGATTTTTTTTGTTTGTTTTGAGACAGGGACTTTCTAAGTTGCCAAGCTGATTTTGAGCTTATGACCCTCCTGTCGCAGTCTTCTGAGTGCTGAGATTAAGTGTGCACCACTTTGCCTGGTCTAGTTACAGGCTGTGCCTCTGTGATAAAGTGGTGCTTAACAAGAGGACCTGGGTTCAGCTCCCAAAATTATTTAGCGACATTTATTTGTGGAGTGCTGGTAATCAAGCCCACGGCCTCATGCATTCTATGCAGATACTCTGCTGGGGAGCTATTACCTCAAGCTGGCTATATTTATTTAAAACAAAATAAGCATTGAAATAAACCAAGACCAATGTAACACTCACATTTTCACTTTCTAAATGGCCTCAGATGTGTCCTGTTTGCTCCTGTCGTCTACCTATTAACAACCCTTTTCTCGTTTTTGGTTTTATTTATAGTTCATGCTGTCTTGAACTCATGGTGATCCTCCTGCCTCAGCCTCCCAAGTGCTGGAGTTACAGGCATGTGCCGCTATGCCTGATTTCCCTTGATGCTTTTCTGCAACACCAGAAATGGGCTATTGCCGAGTGTGGTGGCACAAACTTGTAATCTCAGCACTTGGGAGGCTGAGGCAGGAGGATCGCTGTGAATTTGAGGCCAGCCTGAAATACATGCAGTAAGTCCTCAACTTCAGAACTTTCAAATTGCAGAACTCCACAAATACGAATAGACTTTCCATTACAAGCATTTGTAGATATAAATTGCAGAAGTAGCTCATATGTCTGCTGGACATTGTCACAGTTGTACTTACTGTACAGTGTGACAGCGTACAATAAGTGCTCCCTCAGAGCCCAGGATGTCTGGAAGCGTTATTTACCATATTTGTGTGTGTGCGTATGCGTGTGTGTGTTATGCTTTACATTCTATATCTGTGTCAAGCGTATAAGGCTCACTGTGTTGGACTTACAAATGGATACCACTTATGAATGTTCTCCTGGAAAGGAACTTGTTTGTAAGTTGGAGACTTACCGTAGTGAGACCCTGTTTTAAAAAATAGAGAAGCACGAAGGGAAGCTAAGAATGTAGCTCGGTGGTAAAGCACTTATCTAGAATCCACGAGGCCTGGGTTCAGTTCCTCATTCCAGAAAAGCCAAAAACACTAAGGATTCTCTTGTTGATTTGAGTCAGTACAGGCAAGACAGTTGCCCTGTTTAGTTCTGCTATGATGAGCCACCTGCCGCCCACTGGGGGCTTAAAATAACAAAATGTAGTCTCTCACAGATCTGGAAGGCAAGATCCAGTCCTGCACTTCTGAGTGAATCTTTCCTAACCTCCTCCTCCTCCTCACTGCTGGCCACTCCTCGCAGTCCTTTGCTGGGCAGCGTCCCTGCGGTCTCCACTCTGCCCTGCAGGCCTTACGCCCGGCGCCTGCCTGCATCTTATAAGAATACCTTCATTGGATTAAGGGCCCACAGTAATGCAGTATGACCTCAACTAGTGACATCTGCAGAGTAGTTCTAAATAAGGTCACAGTTTCAGGTTTGGGTAGACAGGAAATTTGGGGGAACGCTCTTCAGTCTACCACAGTGGCTGGGTAGTGGCAGAGTCACAGGACGCCCTGTATGAAGGAAGGCCACCAGGCCCAGTTTAGTTCCCGCAGAGTCAGATTCTGCCATCCGGCCTAACTGTCTGTGTATTGTCTCTCTGTCACCTGAGCACCTCCTGTATACCACCAGCTCTAGCAAGCAGTCCATGTCCCGTGCTGAGTACACAAAGCTGGGAGATAAAAAGGGGAAGTGTGGGGCTGGGGATTTAGCTCAGTGGTATAAGCGCCTGCTTTGCAAGCAGGTGATTGTGTGTTTGATCCCCGGTACAGATAAAAAGAAAAAAAAAAGTAAAAAAAAAAAAAAAAAAGGAGACGTGCACCTTCTTGACGTGCTGCTGGGCTTTCCTGTGAGCCCTAACTGTAAGACAAGTTTGAGTGTCTTCCTGAGTTATTTTGGCAAGATGTCACAGCAGCTGCCTTCAGGTTTTCCTCAACTGCTCTTGCTAAGTTGCCCAGGCTGACCTCATACTAGAATCGTCCAAGGGCCTCTCATATATCCTTTATCCACTTACTAATTTGCCTATTGTCTCATCTTTTATCATTTTATGTACAATATACAACTGCTTTGTCCACCAGACATTAGTCTGAGAGGAGGTTGAAGATATTGTGCTTCTTTATTCCTGAATACTTCAGCGTATTTCCTAAGAACGAGGCTATTGCCTCGCGTAGTACAGGTCAACAAGTAAGATCACAAAATTTAACACTGACACAACACCACAATCTTCTGGGCATATTTAGATTTCTTCACTTACAAGAACGTTACTGACAAGGATTTACTTTTCGTACTTGGTCACTGAATGCCTGGTCTCCTTTCCCCCAGGTTCCTGTTGTCTCTTTCCAGGGTGTTTGTGTCCACTCACAGGAACTCCCTGGCGATTGCTCTGGGTTATACGTTTTAAAAGCAGGAACCTCACAGAACCAGTGTGGTCAGTGCATCCCGTTAGGAAATCCTGATGGCAACTCAGAGATGAGTGATGTTACCTTTGATCACTTGCTTCAGCAGATGTCTGCCAGGTTTTTCCACTGGAAAGATAAATATTTTGTTTTGGTACAGGAATTGAACTCGAGACCTTGTGCTCACCAGTAGGCACTTTTGCTGCTGAGCTATATCCCCAGCCCTGCAAAGTACATTTTAAGGGCATAAAATTTGTTTTTCTTTTATCTATAGCCCATCTCTTGACAGTTGTGTTTTTCCTATTCTTTCTTTCTCCTCCTCCTCCCCTTTGTCTTTTTAAGACAGGGTCTTGCTATGCAGTTAGAGCTAGACTTGAGCTCACTTTGTAGCTCAGGCTGGTTTCAAACTTGCAATGATCCTCCTGCCTCAGCCTCCCAAGTGCTGAGATTACAGGTGTGTGCCACCATGCCTGGCTCCTGTTTTCTTAAATATTCCTCATTATCCTTTTTTACACACAATTCTTTTCTGTGTGTGTGTGAGAGAGATGATAGATAGGTACTGGGGATCGAAGTCAGAGCCTTGTACATGCTAGGCAAGCAGTCTACCACGGAGCTACATCCCCAATACCCTCTTTTGTCTTTTTTCTCTTAATTTAGTTTTTTAAATGTTCATCAAAGTCATACTTACATATACAGTAGTTTAAAGAAAATTGCATGGCATGATGACCCATACCTGTAATCCTAGAATGGTCAAAGCCAGCCTGAATTAGAGTGAGACTGTTACAGTTTGTGTCTGGATGCCCCCATAAAAGCCTCATGTGGTCGTGTGAGCAGGCTGCTGAATTCGTGGCTGACCCTTGGTCCAGTGCTGGCATTGTGACTGTGAGTGCTACACCTGCGCCGGGGCAGGAAGCCTGTGTACACTGTGAGGGACAGGAAGGGTCTGCTCTCCGTGCTCCTCTTTTTTGGCCTTTGCCTGTTGCTTTTGCTGTTTTCTGCCGCCGTGAAATGCTGCCCTCTGCCACATGTTAGTCTTCCTTGGAACCAGCCAAGCATGGACTGCAACTTCCACAAAGTGTGAGCTAAATAAACCTTTCTTCCTTTAACTTTTCAAGTCTTTCATCCCAGCCACAAGAAAAAAGTAACGACACAGAGACCGTGTCTCAAAAAAAAGGTCATTGTATAGTTACAAAACAAAACATTCTTCTCCCCTACCCCAGATATTGCCATTTTTCTGTCTTGCCAGAGGCAGCACCCATTTCTTTTAACTTTATTTTGGATTTTATTGCTATAACTCCAGCAAATACAGTCTTATTACTACTGCTTGGTTTTTTCTAAGTTTTTGGCTGTTTTAGGCCAGATTTTTGGAAACAGACTCATGGAGCTTTACTTGTGGTAAATGTATAGCAAACGGGCTCAGGAATAGCTCCTGGAGGAGAAGGAGAGAAGGGGCCAGGGTATAGCTCAGTGCCTGCCTGGGAAGCTCAAAGTCATGAGATTGATCCCCAGTACTAAAAATAAGAGCTGAGTCTGGTGGTGCACACCTGTAACCCCAGCATTTGGGAGGTTGAGGCAGGAGAACTGTCAGTTTGAGACCAGCTTTGGCAACAAAGTGAGATCAAGGCCAGACTAAACTGAATAGTGAGACCCTGTCTCGGAAAGGCTAAATAAATAAATAAATATAAAAAGGAAATAGATTGGACAGTGAGGGCCTGTGGCAGCCTCAGTTGCAAAGGGTGCAGGGTGGGGGCTCACTTGGTCCTACAGCCAGGCAAGAGGACCAGGCCTTCCACCTCTGATGGGCCAGTCCTGGGTTCTGGCTCGTTCCAGGGGGGGGGGTGCACTCCATGGAGCAGCTCTTTCTGGCCAAGGTAATTTCCTGGGCAGGACTCATCCCAAGCCTGGAGTGTCCAACACCCCTGGGACCGAAGAAGCCCTGTAGGGATCTGAGTGACGTGCCACAGCATCACACATGTAACAGGTCACTCGGCCTGGGAACAGCCCCTCCAGGACTCCACTTAGTCTCGTTTCCTGGAAGAAATTAGAGAAAGCAACCGGAAGTTAGTGGCGGTGAACTATTGTCCCCACTGCTGCTGTTGCTCCCAGATCTGCAACTGATACCCTCAGCTCTCTCCTGACTACCCACTCTAGATTCCTCTTTTCTCAGTGTCTCCTCTGGGTGGGGGAGATCTAGACTTTTCCCCAAGGCCTGGCCTCCTGGTCATTTTGCCCTACTCAGTCCGTGGTTGCCTGTAAAAATTGGGCAGGGAAGTTGCCCTGGGTGCCAAGCTGTCCTGAGCAGCACACTGCCTCCTCCTGACTCAGGAACCATGACAGCGTTTCCTCCCACTGGCTCTTCCCGGCACAAGGAGCCTCATGTTATCAGGCAGCAGTCACAGCTCACCACGCGAGAAAGTAACCCTCCGAGAGCCAGGATCTGTCAGCCAGGAAGCCTTGTACCGTAGGGATGGGAAGGGGGTGATGTAAGTGGGGCCACTCTAACCTCTACACCTTGGTTCCAAGGTGCCCAGGACATAGCATCTGTGATGCTCACTGTTTTGGGGTAGATCTTATTTCTGTCTACACTCGTGTGTCATTTCTTCTCTTTTGTTGTTATGATTGTTCATTCTTTTATCATATTAGATTTTAAGGTCATTTTAGATATACATAATGATCACATTCATCATAGAGCATTTTTTCCTGTACATGATACAACTTTTTTCCCTCCATTCCCCTACCCTCCCTTCAATCCCCCCGCCTCCTCATTTACAAAGCTTTGTGTCACAGCTAAACTGGCTCCTCATCTGCACTTTAAGGTATTGGTGTCTGTTATATAGTCTGAGCTATGTAGCACACGGTAGGTATTGTAACCTATCAAAGGTAACTCTAAGAGCAGATGTTTGCCTAATCTCAACTTGCTTGTTAGCCCACCTGAACCTTGTTCTTCCCAAGAAATGTAACCGCTGTGTTCCTGTTCTGTAGTGCGCCGCAAACTCCACCCCCCAGCTTGTGAAGACCATCAGCTGTTTGCAGTTTTACAGAATAAAAACCCTTTTTTCCTTTTTATCGGTACCGGGGATCGAACTCACGACCGCCTGCTTGCAAGGCAGGTGCTTATGCCGCTGAGCTAAATCCCTAGCCCAACCCTGCCCTGCAGTCTTCCATATTGGCTACTGGAGGCTGCGTCGCCAGGCCTGTGCTTTAATAAATAATATTTTTCCTTTCCAAATTATTTTCTCTGGCTCCTTCATACCTCAGGAAGCGGGGGACCACCACAGTAGGAATAGTGGACCCCATGTTCATGTGCTGACTGCCTCACTTCTATTGCTATAAAATGGGTCCTTTGGTTTGACGTGACATTATTCAGTGTGTTAATTTGTGCTGCTTTAACAAAATACCCGAGACACTGATTTATAAAGAACAGAGATATATTTTCTCATAATCCTGGAGACTGGGAAGTCCAGGATCAAGGTGCTGGCAGGTTTGCTTTTCTGTTGCTTCCAAGGGGTGTCTTGTTGCTGTCTCCTCCAGAAGGCCAAGCAGGCTGTGTCCCACATAGCAGAAGGTGGAAGGGCACAGGGGCTAAGGACCTTGATCCCTTTCACAAGGACAGGCAATCTGATGACCTGATCCCCCTTTAAATTACCCAGCTCTTAATACCATCATCTTGAGCTTTAAGTTTCAGCATCTGTGTTTCAGCAATGGCACAGTAAGAGTATAGCACAGAGTGCCCTGTGTCATCTGATGTGGTAATCCCTTGGCTCATCGTTTGAGCTGAGGCTCTGTAGGCAGGAAGAGAAAACACGCATCCAGAATATCTACTAATGCGTCTCAGGATGAATGACTCCCCCTCCATGGTAGAAGGGGCCAGGTGATCAACTTGCTGCCAAGGGCTGGCTGCTCTGGGTGTCAGGGTTGGCCTCGATTGCCAGTGGTCCAAACATTTGGTGGCGCAGTGGCCAGATCAGCCTTGGTGAGTGAAACTCGTGTTCTTCTCATGTACTTCCTCCCTCTTGTCACCGTGTGTGTTGGGCAGATTTCTGCTGCTGGGACAAATGCCTGGCATACATAACTTAAGGTTTATTTTGGCTAATGGTTTCAGAGGTTTCAGTCCATGGTCACCTGGCTCCAAGGCAGACATGGTGTGGTGCAAGGGTGTTTTTATCTCACAGCACCAGCAAAGCACACAGAAGGACGCTCAGAAGCAGGGAGGAGACCAAATAAAGTCCCCAAGGCCGTGCCTCTGTTACCCACCCAGACACTCCTAGAAGTGTGCTTTATTACTCTAGACATCTCTCAAGCCAATCAAGTTGCAATCACGATGAACTGTCTCCCCGTGGTTACTTTGTCCATGTGCTCTCTGCAGTGTCCCATGAGTGATGCCAGCTGATGTTCTCAGAGTCCTTGTTATGGGCGGCTTAATATTTCTCCTGTGACAGATGCTGTCTGGTGGGAGCTGACAGCAAAGATCTTCTGACGACACACCCAGGTTCCTGGGGCCGTGTCACTGCCCCTGAGCTTTTAAGACTCTTCCTGAGGCTACCATCCTGTACATACAAAGCTGCCACCTCTCTGCCTTTTGAGAGGATTTCCACTGATCTCTGTCCTGTGGGGCTCCCTTGAGTAGGGCTTTCATAGAGCAGCAGTCTACTTGCATCTCGTCCCCAGGTACTGACACAGCTCACTGGCAACCCACGTCTGTCATCTCTCTTCTTGTGCTAGCTGCTCATGTGAGACCTCAAGTGAGACAAGGATGTGAACTCAAGAAGAGACAACAGGAAGCCTGGTTACCTGCCCATGTGAGCTTGTTTTTGCACTGTGCCCACTCTGTAGTGAGTGGATCACTGCTGGTCCCACCAGTCCCTACAACGTTTTCTTTTTTTTTTTTTTTTTTGAGATAGGGTCTCACTATGTATGTAGTTCAGACTAGCCTTCAACTCACTATGTATCCATCTTAGTTAATTTTCTTTCATTTCTAGGACAAAATACCCAACACCCAAAATTAAGCAAGGAAGAGTTTATTTAGCTTACAGTTTTTGGAGGCTCCAGTCCATAATCAGCTGGCTGCAAGGCAGGGTGGCATGGCACTGGGGCAATGCTTCAAGGCAGCAGCCAGAGCAAAAGCAGGGAAGAACAAGTCTCTTTTCTTCTCTTATATTGTACACAGGCCACCCCCACCCTCCGGGGTGGGTGTAGCACTCACAAAATCTCTGTGCCCTCCTCTTGCACAGGATGAGGATATTTACAAAGTAAGGATCCTGGCTTCCTGCTGAGTCTCTGAGTTAAACTTCTAAACTTCTCAAGTTGGCACAAAGTATCAACCATAAAGTAGCCAAGGCTGGCCTCAAACATGCCCTCCCGAGTACTGAGATTATAGGTGTGCGCCACCAAGCTGGGCAAAATTAATATTTACTAGTATACTTTTCTGCCCTTTTTTGCTTTTTGTTTGAGACAGGTTCAGGCTGATCTTGAACTCACTATGTAGCCCGGATGATCTCAAACTCATGGTGATCCTCCTGCCTCAACCTCCTGAGTGCTGGGATGATAGGTGTGCACCACCATGCCCAGCTACCCTTATGACTTCAGTCCAGCAGAGCCCAGGTTATGACAGACGGTTCTGGTCTAAGTTACTTGCTGTCACATATTTGGATTTTCCTTTTTTGAAACAGGGTTTCACTATGTAGTGCAAGCTGGCTCTGAATTCAGTACCCAAACTGATCTCAAATTCTCACCAATCCCCTTGCCTCAGCCTCCTAAGTGCTGGGGTTATAGGCAAATGCCACCATGCCTGGCTAGTAATTCCTTAGAGTTTTTTTTTTCCTCATTAACTGTATGTGAATGTTTGTTGGGGCATTTGAAAGTCTGAGTGAGCTGGGTGTGGTGGCACAGGCCTGAAATTCCACCACTCTGGAGGGTGAGACAGGAAGACTGCAGGGGTGAGCCTATCCTAGATGACTTAGACCCAATCTGAAAATTAAAAAGAAAAAAAAAAAAGGCTGTGGATGTAGCAAAGGTCTTGGGATCAATCCCCATTGCCAAGAGGAGAAATGCCAAAAGGATTTAAAAGAACTCTATCAGGTGAGACACTGCGGGGAATCTGGATTCCCAGTCCCTAACACCAACATCACCCTCTCCAGTGTTATCCATAACCAAAAACATGCCCTACGATTTTCCAACAGCCTCCAGGGGGCAGCATCACCGCATCCACGGGGAGAGGCACCGCTGCAGCTGCAGGCAGTCGGCATCCAGTCCCAGGGCTTTCGCTAAATCTGACTTTGTCCACATTGGAGGCTCCCTGCTCCCTGCCTTCCGAGCTCCTGTCCCGCTGTCCTCCTGTGGTCTTCACGGGGTATCCCATGGGCCTCTCACATCACAGGGCCAAAACAGCTCTTCCTTGTCTTCCCACACTCTTCCTCCTTCTCTTCCCTGTTTTGACAGCAACACCACTGTCCCTCTGGGTGCTGATCAGAAACTTAGGGCTCACCCTTGAGTCCTCTCCTCTGCCGCCCATACAGCACAACCGTCCCTCCGCATCACCTCCTGGGGCAGCTGCTCCCTGCCCTTCTGCCACTGCGGTCCCCTAGCTGCTCTCCCTGCCTCTAGTGAGGCCTCTGCCTTCTCATAGTCTGATCTTTGCACGGTAGTCAGCAGCATCCTTCTAAAACATAAGTCCCAGTCCAGTGCACACCTGTGATCTCAGCACTTGGAGAGGCTGAGGCAGACAGATGACAGATTGAAGCCCAGCCTAGGTAACCTACTGACTTAAAGAGACCCTGTCTCAAAATTTAAAAAATAACAATAAATTGGGTCTCTCCTTTGCTTGGGGATATTCAGTTGTAGCAGTTTGCTACAAAGGCACTGCTTTGCCAGCCGTGGTGGCACATGCCTAGAACTGCACTACATGGGAAGCCGTGGCTCACGGCAGCTTAGACAACCTGCTAGGACCTTGTGTAAGAACAAAAAAAATTGAAAACCAAAATAATAAGATACCGTTCTTCTGTTCATTTGTCTTGGCATTGTTGGTTAATGTC